TGCCCAGTTGGGTCTCGAACCCGCGGGCTCAGGCAATCCATTCACCTCAGCCTCCCAAAGTGCAGGATTACAGGCTGAGCCACCGAGCCCGGCTTTTTTTGTTTTTTGTTTTTTTGAGTAGGAGTCTCACTTCATCACCCAGGCTGGAGTGCAGTGGCATGGTCATGGCCACCCCAGCGTTGACCTGCTGGGCTCAGGCGATCCTTTTCACCTCAGCTTTCCAAGTAGCTGGACTACAAGCACATACCAACACACAGTGGTAGGCAATTTGCGAGACCTCGTCTCTACAATAAATCAAAAAGTTATCTGGGTGTGTTGACTTGCGCCTGTGGTTCCAGCTACTTGAAAGGCTGAGGCAGAAGGATTGCCTGAGCCCGCAGGTCGAGGCTCTGGCAGCTTTGAGCATGTCACTGCACTACAGCCTGGGGACAGAGTGAGACTCTGACTCAAAAAAAAAAAAACTTTCTAGGTCAGGCATGGTGGCTTATACTTGTAAACTAAGCACTTTGGGAGGCCAAGGCAGGAGGATTGCTTGGGCCCAGGAATTTGAGACCAGCCTGGGCAATATAGCAAGACCTCTATCTCTATTTAAAAAACCATCCTGGCACAGTGGCGCATGCCTGTAATCCCAGCACTTTGGGAAGCTGAGGTGAGAGGACAGCCTGAACCTATGGCTCAAGAGCAGCCTGGGCAACTTGGCAAAATCTTGTCTCTACAATAAATTTTTTAAAAATTGAGCTGGGTTCGGTGGTCAACCTGTAATCCCACGCTTTGGGAGGCCGAGGTGAGTGGATTGCCTGAGCCCGTCAGTTCGAGACCCGCCTGGGCAACTTGGCGAGACCTCATGTCTACAGTAAATCAAAAATTAGCTGGGCGTGGTAGCGCGCGCCTGTAGTTCCAGCCGCTTGGAAGGCTGAGGCGGAAGGATTGCCGCAGCCCAGCAGGTCGAGGCTGCGGTGGCTATGAGCGTGCCACTACACTCTAGCCTGGGCGACAGAGTAAGATTCCGACTCAAATGAATAAACAAATAAATAAAAAGAAATGTAAAGCAGAGTCAGAGGGATGGTGCTGGAGGCCGTCAGCCCACACCTGAGGAAGTTGTGTGGCCATCTAGGCAGCAGGAACAGCCTGTGCAAAAGCCCTGGGGTTAGAGTGTGCCTGGCGTGTTCTAGGAGCCCAGTGAGAGGAGGTGAGGGCGGAAAAGTTACTTGGCAAACCCTGCAGGCCTTGTGGGCCACAGGAGAGACTTGGACTCGTACTTAAAACATGTCAGTGTATTAAAGGCCCTAAGAAATCTCCCTGTAAAGCCAGGCTTGGTGGCTCAGCCTATAATCCCACGCCTTTGGGAGGCTGAGGTGAGTGGATTGCCTGAGCCCGCGGGTTTGAGACCTGCCTGGGCAGCGAAACCTCATCTCTACAATAAATTAAAAAAAAATCAGCCAGGCGTGGTAGCACATGCCTGTAATTCCGGCTACTCAGAAGGCTGAGGCGGAAGGATCGCCGGAGCCCAGCAGGTGAGGCTGCGGTGGCTGGGAGAGGCCACTGCACTCCAGTCTGGGCGACAGAGTGAGACTCCAACTCAAAAAAAAAAAAAAAAAGAAATCTCCTTGTAAAGATATCTAATCTAGTGAGACATTGACTCTAGAATAGATAAATAAATTAATTAACCACTCAAAGTAGACATGATCTGTTTTTGTTTTTGTTTTTTTTTTTTTGAGTTGGAGTCTTACTCTGTCACCCAGACTGGAGTGCAGTGACATGCTCATGGCCACCCCAGTGTCGACCTGCTGGGCTCAGACAATTCTTCCACCTTAGCCTTCCAAGAAGCCAGAACTATAGAAGTGCTACCACACCCGGATAATTTTCTGATTTATTATAGAGACGAGGTCTCACCAAGTTGCCCGAGTTGGTCTTGAACTCACAGGCTCAGGCAGTCCATTCACCTTGGCCTTCCAAAGTGCTAGGATTACAGGCTTGAGCCACCATGCCCAGTATGATCTGATTTTTAAAAAAATTAGTAGCCAGGTGTGGTGGTATGCATCTGTAGTTCGAGCTACTTGGAAGGCCGAGGCAAAAGGATTGTCTAAGCCCAGCAGGTCGAGGCTGCAGTGGCCATGAGCGTGCCACTGCACTCCAGCCTGGGCGACAGAGTAAGACTTCAACTCAAAAAAAAAAAAAATTAGCTGGGTTTGGTGGCACATACCTGTAGTCCCAGCTACTCTGAAGGCTGAGGCAGAAAGATCGCCTGAGCCCAGGAGGTCAAAGCTACAGTGAGCCATGATGGTACCACTGCACTCCAGCCTGGGCAACAGAATGAGACTCTGACTCAAAAGAAAAAGAAACCAGCTGGGCGCGTTGGGTCACACCTGTAATCCCAGCACTTTGAGAGGCGGAGGTGAGAGGATTGCCTGAGCTCAGAGGTTCGAGACCAGCCTAGGCAATTTGGCAAGAACTTGTCTCTAGAATAAATAAAAAAATCAGACTAGGCTCAGTGGCTCAGCCTGTAATCCCAGCACTTTGGGATGCCAAGGCGAGTGGATTGCCTGAGTCCGTGGGTTCGAGAGCCATCCGGGCAACCTGACGAGACCTCGTCTCTACAATAAATAAAAAAAAATTAGCCAGGCTTGGTGGCTCAGCCTGTTATCCCGCGCCCTAGGGAGGCTGAGGTGAGTGGACTGCCTGAGCCTGCGGGTTCGAGACCCGCCTGGGCAGACAAGACCTCATCTCTACAATCAAAAGTCAAAAAAATCAGCCGGGCGTGGTAGCGCATGCCTGTAATTCCGGCTACTTGGAAGGCTGAGGCGGAAGGATCGCCGGAGCCCAGCAGGTCGAGGCTGCGGTGGCTGGGAGCGGCCACTGCACTCCAGTCTGGGCGACAGAGTGAGACTCCGACTCAAAAAAATAAAAAAAGAAATTAACTGGGTGATGTGCACCTGTAGGCTAAGCTACTCAGGAGACTGAGGCAGAAGGATTGCTTGCGTCCAGGAGTTTGAGGCTGCAGTGAGCTGTGATTATGCTACTGCAGTCCAGCCTGGGCAACAGAGTGAGACCCTGTCTCTAAAAAATAGGGAGAAAAAGCCACAGTCCTCCCCAGAGCCCAGCAGGCCTGCAGGGCCTCCTTTCTCCGCACTCTCCTCTCTTCCTCTCTCACCTTCATCCACACTGGTGCTCCAGGACATTTGTGCCTGCTGTGGCTGCGGCCTGGAATGTCCCTCCCTACTGCCCAGCCCCTTGACGTGGCTCGGGGCCCAGTGCAGACCTCACTCTCTCTGGCCGCCTGCCGCCCACTCTCAGTCCCTTCCTTCCTCCTCCCCGTGACGCCCTCTGCTGCGGGAAGGCTGCCTCCCTGAAGCCAGGGACCACCGCGGGGTCCCCGATACCTCCACAGGCCAGCCACCCAGCTGGCGCCACGGAGGGTCTGGAAAGGAGCCCAGACTGCCGGAACTCTGCCTGTCGTTTCAGTTCGCCCCCATGTCGGATGACGAGAGTCCTGCGTCGTCCTCGGCCGAAGAGTAGCCGGAGGGAGGCGGCTGGCTCCTCCCCAGCCGGTCCCAGAGCACACCAGCCCTCGGCCCTCTCCTGCCTGCTCCCAGCCACCCCGCGAGGCCCAGTCTCTGAGGCCTTCTGTCCCAGGGGACTCTGGCTCCAGGCGGGTTTTCTTGGCGCTGGGGTTCAAAGTGGCCACAGCTCAGACCCGAGCAAAACGCTTGTATAAATCGGCACCAGCGGCGGAGACTGGAGTGTGGGTTTAGGAGGAACACCGAGAACAATCCCACAGCAATTAGGGGTGTGTGTGTGGGGGGAAATGCCATATTTTTGAATCACTGTTGCAGGAGGGGGCGGGAATCCCATGACTGTTGCTGGATTTGAAAGTCACTGGAATTTGCATATTTTCATTTTAACCCTGAGTGTTCTTAGGCACAAGTCGTGCTCCAGTGGCTGGCTCCCGCCCTCTGCCCCCGACATGTAACTGTCTGGCACATAATAGGGTTCTGTCTGCTGCCATCCCCCTGCCCCAAGGCGTTCTTGCGGGGAGCGTTCTTCTGGACACATCACAAAACACATTCTGTCCTGTCCCCCTGGGACCCAGGGTGGGAAGCTCACTCCTTTCTTCTCTGCCTCCTGTTCCCCTCCACTTAAGTCGGGTAGGGCCCTCTTTAGCACCCTGCAGCCGAGATGCCCTGCCGGGCTTTGTAATTTGTTGAAACTGGTTCCCAAGGAGGAATCAAAATCACCAGAAACCCGGCCCCTCCCCACACGAAGGCACATGCGAGTGGGGTCTGCACATGTGAATTTTCCAAGAAAATCCCTGAGACCCAGAGACACGGGCGGAGAAGCCCATTCTCAGAGCGGTTGCTCCCCTGCGGGCCAGGACTGTGGTCATAGGGCCATCCTCTTCTTCCCCGGGCCCCAGATTTCTCTCCTCAAAGGAAGGAAAACCGGCCATGTGCTTGCTGGCAGCACAGAGGGCTGGCGCCCAAGAGCCCCATGTGTACACGATTAAAAGTTGGCTGGCCCTGAGACTCCTGGTGCAGACTTAAAGAGACAGCGTTTTGCTGCAAACCCAATACAGGCCGGCTGGTTTTTTAACAACCTAGAGGCTTTCCGGAGCTGCCTGGATCAGAGCCTGCTGGGAGTTGGGCTTGCCAGAGACGCCTGTGGTTTACTTCATGGCCTGTTTTGTCCCCAGAATCTCAACATCGTTTTCTTTTAATTTTTTAAAAATAGAGGTGGGAACCTCGCTTTGTTGCCCAGGCTGGTCTCAAACTTCTAGCCCCAAGCGATCCTCCCGCCTTGGCCTCCCAAAGCGCTGGGATCAATATAGTTTTCCTTACTGTGCCTTTTTCTTGGGTGAACAACAAAAAGAGAAGGGTTCCAAGCCTCTAACAATGTGCCTTGTGGCAGGGACGGATGTTCCCTACCAAGTATGTGCTCTGCCCTTTGGAGTCCTGTGAGCTCTGGGCCTCCAGGGCTTTGAAGTCAAAACTAGTAGGTCGCAAGGGCTCCCTCGTTCATTAAGAAAGCAAAGTGCTGGCTTCTCTCCTAGAAAAGTAGGACTTTGGCTTGCTGCAGATGGGCTTGTTTTGATTTGTATTGAAAGGATGTTCCTAAGACAGAAGGACTTGGGATGGTCAAACTAGACAGCCAGGATGGATGGATGGTTGGATGGATGGATGGCTGGGTGGGTGGGTGAGTGAGTGTGGATGGATGGGTGTTTGGAGTGGTTGGGTAGAAGGATGGGTAGGGTGGGTGGGGTTGGTGGATGGTTGGATGG